AAATCCATTTGCTAGGGAATATGGGATTAATGTTTTGGATTCGTTTGTGATTGTTGAGATTTGTTGATCGTTCAATTTGTACAAGTAGTTCTTCAAAAGGGTTTTTCCAAATATTAGGCTTGAATATTGAGAATTGTTGAAGGGTGACACTACAGTTTCCAATTTACGATTGAATTCGATTTATTCTCGCACGATGTTGATTATTCTTATTGATTAGTTGGTTAACAACCCTCTAGTCTGATTTAATCGACTCTTAGAACCGAAAGGGGAGGAGTTGATCGAAATAGGCTCGTATAAACTAGTCTTGTTCGTAACTGTATTGCCTAGGTGTTAAATGAATCGTTAATTTGCCGTTCACATATGTCCTCTTGTTACGAAAAGTTATTGAGGACGAATCTTTGAACGAGTAGATTACTCGAATCATTTAGCTGAACGATCACTTGCCCGACAATTGCAATTCAAACAAAACGGATATCCCCGACTCCCTAGCTTCTTAAATCCTACGTGTTCTGCGTTGTTGCTTGCTATTTCTATTGCTTTATTTGAATTTCCGTGGTAGTTGATAGTTAAAACCAAAACCAATCATCTGAATTAAAATGTGCAGATATTTTATTTCTTTTATTTGTGCTTGAATAAACGTGCAGACTATTCCAGCTAACCTTCCTCGTGAGACACGACCCGGTGTTCGAATCTTTTGATTCTACTCCGGTAAAAATATTTACAACATTCACCCCTAATATTAACCATTTTCAGGTTGAGTTGCGGGCCGTGGCGAAAGACAAGCGAGGCGGGGTCATTATTTGTGTTGAACTGCTTTTTACCTGCTCCGCTATATTATTATTATTTGATTATTATTGTCTCATGTTAGACTTGTTTATTTCTCGTTTGGAGACTGAACCGATGTTATTTGGGATTTGGATTGTTTTGCCTGCTTTGGATTTGAAATTTGGATTATTGATTTGACATTTGATTTTAGAATAGAATTGGATATATTTATCATGTTGGGTTTGACTTGAGTAATTCATATGATTGAATAAATGTTATTGTTTGGCATGAGATATATATGATCAGGATGATTGTTATGTGATTGTTCGAGTAGCGAATCAGGCATAGTTGTGATTCTCCATAGCTGCTTCATCAGCATTGCCTCATTAAACAATTTATAATCCTGAAATCCAAGGCCCCATAGCTTTTGGATTCCACTGCTTCCAATGTATGCCTCTGTCCAGATTGTCTCCCCTACTCCACCAGAAAAAGGCTGTAAGTTTGCTCAGCTCCTCACATGTGCCCATTGGAAGCTTAAAACATGCCATTGAAAACACTGGAAGGGTATTTATTACTAATTTGATTAATACCTCTTTTCCTGCTGTAGAGAGGTATCTATTTTTCCAGCTTGACAGTCTTTTTTTCACAGCTTCAAGTATGTACTCAAAGGTCTCTTTCTTGGATTTTCCTATGCCGAGGGGCAGACCAAGATATCTGGTGGAAGCATGGCATTCAATACCTTGCAACATCTGACAGAGGGTTGCCTTCAGCTGAGGTGTTGTATTTTTGCTAAAGAACACAGTGGACTTATGTAAATTCACCTTCTGACCCGAGAAGCTTTGGTAAATTTGCAAAATGTTCCTCAGCACTCTGATTTGCTGTGGCTCAGACTTACAAAAGATTAATGTGTCGTCTGCAAATAGCAGATGAGTAAGAGTAGGTCCATTTCTTGCAATTCTGAGCCCTTTAAGAGCACCTCCACCCACAACCCCTTGAATTAGTGAAGAGAACACTTCAGAGATGATTAGGAAAAGATAGGGGGATATTGGATCCCATTGTCTCAGCCCTCTAGAGGGGTTCAAGTAGCCCACAACTTTCCCATTGATCAGAAAGGAGAAAGTTGGTGTAGAGATGCAAGCAAAAATCCACTTGACAAAAGTTGTACCAAATCCCAATTTCTGCATGGTTTTGCACACGCTTACCCACTCCACTCTGTCATATGCTTTAAGCATGTCCAATTTAAGTGCCATGAAACAGTTTTTACCTGTCCTATGTCTGTTTAGGAAGTGAAAAATTTCCTGTGCAATGACCACATTGTCCATGAGTTGTCTTCCAGGTATGAAAGCAGCTTGGGCTTTGCTGATACACACATCTAGACAAAGTTTCAGCCTGTTGGCCAAGATCTTAGCAATCAACTTGTACACCACTCCACATAAGCTGATGGGCCCGAAATTAGTGATGGAGACAGGGTTCACACATTTTGGGATTAGAGCAACTAATGTGTGGTTCCAATATCTCAGTAGTTGTCCTAATTCAAAGAAACTCCTCACAGCTTTACACATATCCTTTTTCAACAATGGCCAGAAGTGTTGATAAAAAAGAGTTGTCATGCCATCTTCTCTTGGGGCCTTAGAGGGATTCATCTTGAAAAGTGCTTGTTGGATCTCTATTTCTCCCACTGGTGCTGTTAGAGAGACATTCATGGCTGGGGTTATGACCCTCTCTATGTGCTGCAGTGCTACTTCTTCTTGTTGTGAACCTTCTGTGGTAAAAAGGTCATCATAAAATTTGAGGACATGGACTGCAATCTCAGCAGCACCTGTGAGTTCTCTGTTGCCCTCTATCAGTCTAGTTATAGCATTCTGTTTCCTTCTTTGCATGGTCATAACATGAAAAAACTTTGTATTTCTGTCCCCTTCCTTGAGCCATAGGATCCTGGATTTTTGTAGCCAGAATTTCTCCTCAGAGTAGTGAGCATTATCTAGTTCTTTTTTAAGTTTATCCCATTCCTCCCAATTCCTATCACCACCAAGCTTCCTCATTTCTTCCAGTTGCATTGTGAGTTTGCCAATAGTTTCCTTGTTGCTCTTCAGACCATTCATTTTCCACAGTATCTTGCAGCCCCTCCCTCTGAATCCACCGTTTATCAAATGAAACCTTTTCTGCTTACCCATTGGCTTATGACCATCTTCAACTAGCAACATATTATGATCTGATGCACTTTTGAACATGTTTCTGACTCTGGCTTGAGGGTGGTTGGTCATCCACTGGTATGAGGCAAAGGCTTTATCAAGTACCTCCTCCACAAACCCCTCTTCCTTTCTGTTGTTCCCCCATGTGTACTTATGCCCATCCATCTGAGGCAAACACATGCCAATTTTGGCAATAAACTCATTGAGTCCCTGGAAACTACTGTTGGGTCTAGCTCTACCCCCTTTCTTCTCCTCCTGACAGCTGTATCGTTCCAATCTCCTATTATTACCCAACTATCACCCCATTTCTGTTTTCCTCCATCAAGACTTGTCACTGCCATGCTCTCTCCTGTTTATTAGTACTAAGGTAAACAAAAATGGCCCATTCATTCTGATCAGATTCTTTAACCTTATACTGAACTTGGATGCACCATTCAAAACTATTCAAAACTATAATATCCATATTCTTATCCCAGCATAAGAGTAATCCTTCTCTAGTTCCCTGGGGTTCATGAAAATACCAGCACCCTTCATACCCTATTCTTTTACAAATCTTAGAAACATAACATTTTTGTTTTTTAACTTCTGACAAAAAAACAAAATTTGGGTGGTGAGACCCAATGGCCTCTCGCAATTGGGGAACTGCAGAGGGCCCACCCAGCCTTCTACAATTCCTCACCACAGCCGTCATTTGTCACTTTGGGGCCCATTATGGCTGGCCACCTCCACCATTATCCCTTTCAACTTAGCTTTCTTATGAGTTACAGTAGCAGGATTAGTACCTTCTTCAGAAGTGGTAATAACTTGCTCCTCAGGTTAGGGTCTCTTTTGTCTCATCTGCATTGGTTCTATCTCCATGGATGTTGAGCTTCTAATTAACCTCCCATCTTTTAGTGCTTTTCTCCTCCATGTCTTTCTGAGTGTAAGTGTGAGGTTCTCAGGATGTATTGTCTCTGTTACTATTTTGATATGTAAATGTTTATTGCATAGTGGTGAGCACTACGATTTCCAACTGTGCTCATCTCCACCAGAAATTAACGTTTCAGGTTAAACAAGGCGGGTACGACGGCGGAGTAGAGCGAGTGATAGTCGGTCTATGAGACCGAACATTAAATGAATTTGCTTTCGCTATCTTTATGAATATTTACGATTTATGCATTTTCAAACTTGAGAATTTATAAAGTATTGAGATACTGTTGAGGATATGCCCCGTTGACACTGTCATGTCTAAAAACTTGAAGTTTATTTTGGGAACCCTTTTGGGTAAAATGGAAATTTATAGATTTATGGATCTCGGTATGAGAGTTTGATTTATGTTATGAATTGATTATGTCGTTGGAAAAAAAAAAAAAAAAATGAGTAACGCCTTATATAAATTTTGAAAAGTTTATTCTGATTTTCGGCAAATAAAAGTGAGAGCGTTACAATATCTCTCTGGTCAATGGTATCAGGTTTGTTCTCTAGACCATTCTGAAGTGGCCGAAGCTAGAATCCAACTAACAACGTACATGCTTTGGTGGCTTTGGAAGTCTAGGAACTTATGGCTATTCCAACACTCATGGATTCCTGAACAAACTCTTATCAAACTGGCAACATCTGATTGGGAAGACTTTTCCTCTTTTTCTTAGTTTATTCTCTCTTTTGTTTTTCCTTTTCTTGCTGTTGGTTTTAGTGTTGAGTGTAGAGCTCCTTGCTAGGCTTTGAGGCAGTGGCTGGAGTCTCTACACTTTTTGTTTGATGGTTATGGTTTGTAGCTTTGTTGGTTGTTGTTGGTCGATGCTGTTGTTGGCTTTGGTTTGAAGCAGGCAGGTTGTTTTAGGTTGGTAGCTTCCTAGTTTGTTCGGTTAGTTGGTTTGCTTGTTGAGGCTCTAGACCGCTTTTAGCGTGTCTCTCACTTTTTTAGTTTTTCGGTTTCGGTTTCCTTTGTACCCATGTATTCGAACTTTGTTCGTTTGAGATTTATAATAGTTANATGGGTGAATTTGATTTTTCCCCTCAAGCCCTGGAATTTTCCCCAAATCCAACCCATCGCTTTCGATCTGAATGCCCCTCCATGGCCGCCGCCGCCATCCCCCCGATGACCCTCCTCCTCCGTCACCGCCTGAATCCCCTCCACTGTCCCCACCATCATCTGAGCTCAGTCGCCCCAAAATCCAGGTCCTGATCCGATCCTTCTGGTCGGAGAATCTGGACCACGAGTTTTTCCTGATCCGCGGCCTCGTCGATCAATTCCCCTTTGTCTCCATGGATATCGAGTTCCCCGGCGCCGTCATCCGCCACTACCAGCACTACTCCGACCCCGGCGATCTCTACCAGACCCTCGAGTACAACGTCGACGCGCCCAAGCTGACCCAGGTAGGGATCACCCTCTCCGACGCTGCCGAGAACCTCCCCCGACCGCCTCTTCATATGGGAGTTCAATTTTAGCGACTTCGACAGTTCGACATCTCGAGCGACGACCACGCGCCAAATTCCATCGACCTCCTCTGCAACCAGGGCATCGATTTCGAGCACACCCGCAAGTTCGGTGTGGCTGCCGCTAGGTTTGCCAAGCTCATGGTGTCCTACGTCCTCGTCTGCAACAATGACGTCACCTACATTACCTTTCACAGTGGCTACGACTGGGTACCTCATCAAGACCATCACTTGGAAGGCTCTCCCTGGAAGCCTCAAGGATTTTCTGAACATGTTGAGGGTATTCTGTGGGGACCGTGTTTATGATGTTAAGCACCTGATGAAGTTCTGTGAGGGGCTGTATGTGGATTGGACCAGGTGGCGATGGCGAAGTCTCTTACTGTGCAGTGTGCTGTCGGGAGGAGACGTGTTCTCGACTAGGGTTTATTTCAACGGCGAGGAGTGCTCATTGCCAGATATAATTCCGCGTGGGGTGGCTGTGTGGGGCCGTCGGTCTTGGTGCAGTTGGTTGTGGGTGTATTGGTTTGTGTTTTCATGCGGCAATAGTGAACCGGAGTGAATACAACAGGTATCGGGCGTATTTATTTGTTCATTCTTTTTTGCCTTTAGGGTCAAATGATTTGGTGAGAAGGGGTTTTCTTGGAATGGGGTGGTTCAATTGTTTTTGGTCGAAATTCAGGTTGTTGAAGATGGAGGAAATATTCCATCCACCATCATCAAGAGTTTAATGTATCAACTTTGCAAAGTGATAAGTCAAAAATATGTGTCGATTTAGTGAATTAATTTAGGATTTATATTAGATATTTGAGTTTAATTGACATATGTTTGACATTATCTTGTATTTTTGAGTGGAAACTACCGGTGTTCGAATTTCTGTGCAGATCTAAGGCTCTTTAGCATGTCAAATGGAAGATTCAACTTGAGTTCGATGTGCCTGGGAAGAAAAAACATTTATAACTAGTCGGAATTACAGTTCAAATGTAACATGGCCATGTTGGTATATTCTGGATCCTATCTCTTATAATTGGACCTATCTCTTATAATTGGGCCTATTAATCTGGTCTTCTCTGGTGGCTCTGGAAGACCAGAAACCACTGGATTTTCGAACATTCCAGTCCTCCTCCAAACATTGTCATCAAAGCAGCAATGTCAGATTGGAGGGACTTCTCAGCAGCAGCTCGAGCTCCATATTAGTGCTTTTATTTTGCTTTTGTTTGTAGTTTATTTTATGAGCAAAGATTAGCTAGGCTTTGAGGCAGTGGCTTCATTTCTGTTCTTTCTTCTTTTTTCATTTCTGTAACTTGTAGCTTCTTTGAGGTTCTAGGCCATCTTGTGGATGTGCCTCCCATGTTGTTATGTCTTATTTGGTTGTTTGTACATTGAACTTTGGTTTCTTCAGTTAATAGATCTCTCTATCGTTCCGGTAAAAAAAAAAACTAAAGCCCATGAGCAGTATATAACGTGACAGCCGCAAGGAACAGAGAGGACGGATCTGCTAGGGATCTGCTTGGAGCAGACACGCAAGAACAGAGCACAACATCAGCGGCTCTCCCTTCTTCTTTTCTTCTTTTCTTCATTATTTTTCTTTTCTTTTGGATTATTTTATGATAGCCCTGCGCGGCTAATTTATCTTTGTCTTGGTTGAAGACGATCGAAACCCAGACCTACTACTGTGAGATCGAATTAGTTTTTATTCTAATTCATATATTTTCCGCATCAATGTTTCGTGTGCATATTTTTATGATTGTTATGTGTAGTTGATGGATTGGCCACCTATTATTCTATGCTTATGATCTATTGCTTGATTGATACTTGAGTCGGATTTAGATCATGTGTCTTTCACTAGAAGCAACTAAGATAGATGATTGACCGGATTTAGGCGTTGCCGTTCTTAGGCGAAATAATTGAACAAGTTAATATTTAACGGATTAGTTATTTATTGCTTGGACTGTCGGTCTCTTGTATTTAATCCTATTGCTAGAATAATTCTTCACGATGTTGGGAATTAACTAGTTATAAGAGTCTCGTAGAAGGATTTATTTTGCGTGACTAAACCAGGAGATGGAATTTATATTCAACGGCAGTTGCGTGGATTGTGAGTTTATATTTTTGCATCAATGATTAGTGGAACAGTCTAGGGTGAAAATCAATTCAACCAAGGCATATTCATATTATATTTATTTTTGTTTATTTAGTTTTGTTTTATTTATTTGTTAGTTTGATAGGTAATTTCTAGTTTAATTAGATCATTAATTCAAAAACCACTTCTTTGATCACATAGTTAATAGATTTAGTTTACTTCTCCCCGTGGATACGATCCTTGCTCACGCTACTACATATTTTTAAGCAAGGTTAATTTGGATGCCTACGACAGCACGACCACAAAGGTGTTACTTTCTGGCATGGTCATGGTGTTCTACACAGGGATCTCAAGCCTCACAATCTTTTAGTCTTACGAGTACTATATGAAAATGTTGTATACTTGGCCTTTGTGAGCATCAATGATATTCAGTACCTAGTTTCTGCAAAAGCTCTTACTTTGGCGCAACGTAGGCCTTGCAGAAATTCCATAAACAGAAATGCAGAAAATTGGTTTTTCTTGAACCGAAGTTGACTAGTATGTGTAATCCTTGCCAATGTCAAGGAAACAATAATTAATGAGCCATTAGGAAATGCATCACTTATAGACAATCGAGTAATAGTTCATGATTCAATAGAGTTTGGTTGAAATTTAGGAAATGTCTTGTGCATAGACAATCGAGTAATAGTTCATGATTCAATATAGTTTGGTTGAAATTTAGGAAATGTCTTGTGCATGGCCTAATGCTGGGAAGCTTCTATTATGTATTGAGCAGTAGAATGGTGTTTATTTGTTTGTTGATGATGTCAAGTTTTGCATACATACCAGATACTCCTGTAGGTAACTTTATTGATGATGAAAATGAGAAGGTATGAGGTGAAGATAATGCCCTTTGAATCTTCGGTTCCTAAATTGCTATGATGTCTATCTTTCTCTAAGAATAGAAATACATATTTCTGTTCGCTATGTTTTTGTTTAGGTGGTATTTTCATAGCAAATGCTGAGAGATCTTAGGTTCTTGAATTTTTTTATCTCCTTAAATTTTTCAGAGTCATCTATCTACCCAAAGAGGAAAAAAGCTGGAAAATAGTGCGCGCCTAACGAGTTTTTGATTGGTGACTAATTTCTTGTGGCATAAGCTATCGACGAACATAATCTGCTATGGTGAGTCTAGATTAGGATCCTAATCACTTTTTTGCTTTTCAGACTTGTTTAGCACATTGTGAGCCATCTGCTATTTACTTGATCTAGATTAGGACCCCTAATCTTCCATTTTTCTGTAGACTGCTATTTGTACACTTGGGTTGTTTGTTACCTGATTTCAGTACACGGTTTTCTACAGAATATTATTTTTTACGGGTCAATATTAATTTCGACGTAAATAGAATAGCTAATTATTTATAATTTAGTAAATTACTCGACTACTTAATTTTTTTTTTATTTTGGATAGTTTATACAAAATAAATTTATTTTAATTAATAAAACAATATAAATTTTAATATTATACTTATAATTTACATGGCTTTTTAAATATATGATAAAATTTTACTAAAATAATTATTTTATGGCACTATATTGTGTTCAAATCGAATTTCTGAATAAAAATTTTAAAATGACACTTATTTTGAAATGAATATAATGTAATTTATAATTCAGTTATGTGCACCGTACAGGGTGTGTACTAATTTTACATAGACATATTAATTTTGCACAATTTCAGTTTTATATAACATTTTAAACAAATTAATATCGGTAAATTTTATTACATACTGATTCCATATTTTTTTATTTATAAATATTATTTAATGAGCATGTTTAATTTATAAACATTAATAAATATTTCTTACCCGTGCATCACATGAGATTCGTATTAGTTTAAAATAAGCATATTACAATGTAAGTTAAAAATATCATGCATAAATATGCCAACAATATATCATGCGCAAATATTATCATCTTTATGATCCACGCATAATCTTTATGTCAAATGGTACGTTAATATAATTTATTGTATGCCAACAATATTTGTTGGCTTACCAAATCATGATTAGCCATTTTTTTGCTGAAAAAGAACAATATAAGGAATATGGTAATAAATTTTCAATACCACTACCGTGTGACCTGGCATACCTAGCACGCAAATACTTAGGTGTGCCCTGCCACACCTTGCTAGGTGTGCCAGGGCCTTTTGTGAAATACAGTTCCTTCAAAAGCACGTGAGGTAAGGAGGTAGATTATTTTTTTTTTAAATGGGACATGTGTTCCATTTCTATTGGGTAATGAATTTCATATATCATATTATATAAATTAAATTATCATTCATATTTTGTATCAAAAAATAAAAATAAAAATACCAAAATTCATAAATTTTCATTCTCTACAAATAGAGACCACATTTGATATTTTTTGGAACACAATTAATTTATTATTTTTTACAATTAATTTATCTTATTGGAAGATTATGACGCAAATCTATAATTAGATGAATATGTTACATAGTAAGATGAACATGTTATAGAGTAAGATGAACATGTCATAGAATAAGATGAAAATGTTACATTTTCACAGATGAAATTTAGATGAACATGTTCTAAAATAAGATGAACATGTTACATAATAAAATGAACATATTATAGAATAAGATGAACATGTTACATAATAAAATGAACATGTTATAGAATAAAATGAACATGTTACATAACAAAATGAACATGTTATAGAATAAAATGAACATGTTACATACACAATAAGGTGAACATGTTATAAAATAAAATGAATATGTATTATTTTCAATCTGCAATCTGTAACATGTTCATCTTATTTGAAAACATATTCATCTTGTTATGTAACATGTTCATTATATGTCAGTATAATAAAATAATTACTAAAAAACGAAAAATTAGTTGTGCTCAAAAACCTATCAAATGTGGTCTCTATTTATAGATAATGAAAAATTATGAATTTTAGTATTTTTATTTTATTTAATTAATATAAATAATTAATGATATTTTAATTTATGTAATAAGTCTCATTTTTCAATTAAAAAAGGAAAAATGGGAATGTGCACTACACTCTCTAAATTTTCTAGTTTTTTGGGGTGAAGGGGCGCGTGCAAATTTGCCCTGGCACACCTAGCTAGGTGTGCCAGGGCACACGGTAGTGCTACTGCACCTAGCAAGGTGTGTCAGGGCAATTATGCACGCGCCATTCACCCCTCAAAAACCAGAAAATGGAGAAAGTGTAGTACACATGCCACTTTCTTATTTTTTTAATTGAAAAATGAGACATATTAGATAAATTAAAATATTATTAATTATTTATATTAAAATAAAAAAATAAAAATATCAAAATTCATAATTTTTCATTCTCTATAAATAGAAACAATATTTGATAGGTTTTTGAACATAATTAATTTTTTTTTTCGTAATCAATTTAATATACTGACATAGGATGAACATGTTACATAATAAGATAAATAT